TAATTAATATATTTTTCAGGAACGCTACTGACGATGCGGAAAATCGGAAGAACGTCCCGCACACTTCCGGTCAAATTCCTTTTGCCGGGAGACGACTTATGATGGTAAATTTAAATTATTAAGTTTTTGTTTTTAAATAATTAACTCTTATTTGTCTTATTAATAATTTCATTTTGATTTTGTAGATCGAAGAAAACGGGGGAGAACTTCCTCCGATGACGAAGGTCTTCGCCGAGACCCATAAGAAGAGGAACGGCGAATTCACGGATCCTCGGGCGGAGGAAATCTACAACCAACACCGCCTGTGCGCGGATCGAGGAGCAGCAGACGCAACTCACTCAGCAGGCGCCTCCGACGTCTCCCGAAGGTAGCTCGGTCCAATCCACCCCGATGATGACGGTGGTGGAGATAGACCAGATTTTCGAAGAGGTAAGATATCTTTTTCTTATTTAGTGTAATTTTAACTTTATATTCTACTCTTTAACATAATTTTTTAACATATTTTCAGGTTGCCCCTAAGAAAAAGGGCCGGGTTTTAGGGATGGGATCCATCCGTGATACCCCGGTCGCTACGGCAACTGGTCATGTCCGGGCAGCGGATCCGCTTATCCGCCAGGAGATCCATTAGATGCAGACCCGGTACGAGACGAAGATCGACCAGTTGTACAGGCTCTTCGAGATTATGGGAGCCGACAACCCGGTGCTCATGGCGCAGTTGGACAGGCTGCGGGCAGATGGAGTTGTCGGATCTTCTGCTTCATCTTCTAGGAGGCAACCACCAGTGTAGACGGGCGAGGAGATGTTCCGGTCTCTCGGGGTTGATCCTCCTCGGGCTGGGGATCAGGCGCCGGAAGCCTCCAACCGAAGACCCGGGGATCAGGCGGCGGAAACCCCCAACCGAAGACCCGACAAAGAACATGTAGAGTAGGACGATGGGGAGGAGGACGGTGATGGGATCGACATTAGTTTAGATTTAGATCTTTAGGGGTTTTTTTTGTAATTATTAAAATTATTTTTTATTTTGAATTTGAATTACAATTTAAATTGTAAATTAATTCTTTTTTTAATTTAAATTTTAATTCGAATAATTTTTTTTTAATTTCATTTATAAAAAACATCGTATAATCGTCGTAATATAATAATTATTAATTTAATAAACCGTCGTATATTCGTCGAAACTTGTACGACGAAGTTACGATCATTTATTCGTCGTATTTTATACGACGACTGATACGACGAATATACGTCCGTGTTTTACGACGGTTTTACGACGACGATGGTTTTACGACGACATGATAAAATCTTTTACAATTGAATTACGACGAATCTTGCGTAGTATATTTTACGACGATCCTACGTTGATTTTTAAAGACGACTTTATGACGGTTTCGCTGTATACCAAATCGAGGCAATCCGATGTAAAAACGTCGAAAGATGTACGACGTATTTACGACGATCTTTTTCTGTCGATGTTACGACGAATATAAACAGTCGTAGATTATACGACGATTTTACGACGATTTTTCTATTACGACGATAAGTTTACGACGATTTGGAAATCGTCGGTAGTTCGTCGTAATAGCCCTATTATGACGAACTAGCGATGATTTTGGCCATTGTAAAACAGTATTTTTCTTATAGTGAAAGACCAGAGTCAGAGATGTTATTTTCAACTTCGTTCTCCGAAGCCCAACATCAAAGCACCGAGGCCCAATAACTTAAGCTCATTAAGCCCAACAGAACATATATGACAAATAAGTTAACATGAATCATTAATCAAAATTATGTTACTCTATCTTGAACATCAAATGAGAATATGAGCGAGAAGATACAATCAAAAACTGATACGAATAACAAACAATTAACAGTAGAAACAGTTAACCCTCGTGGAATTAATCATCCATAGCCAATCAACTCTAACAAATTGAGTGAAAGATAGAAGGAAACAACAATAATGAACAAGGGCCTACGATGGTGAGAGAGAAGAGATCCAAATCCCGATAGCCAATACTGAGATTAACTTTCAAGAAAAATAAGAAAGAAATCATATTTTTATACAATGAGAAAATGAGTTTCACAGACCGATAAGAGATTTTCTTACGAGAAGGCTCTATAAATCCTTATAAAGAATGTTGTCTAACTTGATAATCTTATTCTAGACATGGAACTGGTATAAAAAAAAAATAGATTTGTTGGTCTTGTTGTCAATATATACAAGAGCAATGGGTGGAGAGAGAGATAGAAATTTTTTTTTCCTTTTACATAAATATGTGGCCACAAAATAATTCAACACTTTTATTTTATATCCATTTTTATATATTTATTAAATATGTTACCACAAAATAAATCAACACTTTAGTTATATATATATTTTTTATATTTTGATTAATTTAAAGTTTACATTGTTTAATATATATTTATATGAGAGAGATATTTAAATTCCTTTTTCTTAATAAGTTGCAGCAAAATAATTCAATTTTATTTTCTATTTTTATATATAAATTGATTTAAAATTTAAGTTTTTATTATAAATATACAGATTATTGATAGTGATATATATATATAAGATAATGTTTTAATATTTCAAAATTTATTAATATAAACAATGATATGATATAAAAAAACAATGATATTTAATTTTAAATAATTTAGAGCCCTTAATCCAAATTATCTTTGGCTTTTCTATTGAGAGTTTTTTTGTACTAATGTCATTGATCACATATTTTGGGTTTTGATTAGCTACAAATGTACTATTTCCGATTTAAATGATAAAAATATAAACTTGGTTGGATGTATGACAAACCTTTATGATGATTTCTTACTCCATATAGCACATTAGCTAATTATTTAAATGGTAACAAGTAAATTTGGTTGAATCTAGAGGAATCTGATAGATTAGTTTACTAAAAAAAACTAACATTTTTTCGGTTAGATAACTAGGATAACTTCAAAAAATGCTGAAATAACTAGTTAATAGAATAATAAAATTGATGATATTAAAATTATTTTTAAATTAGGTATACATGATATAATGTTTTAGCTACTAAAATTGTAGTTTTCTCTTTGGACTCGTTTGAAATACTAATTAATTTATCCCTATTATTAATATATGCTAAATGGATTATTTCTCCACCTCAACCATTCCTTTTAGTCGAGTTTTTTTGGACTTCTGTGACTTTAACCAGTATCCAGAGTCGTACCTGAGAAATCTCAGGTTACAACCAAGAAATAAAAAAAATCAGTTCGAAAAGATACTAAAATATATAATATGTCTCTTCATACATTATACAATTATTAGAAAAACTCTTATTTATAGTCCAACTTCCTCTTCTAAATTATTTCAATCTCTCGATGTTGGACACGAACATACCATAAAATCGACTTTTTTGAAAAAAGAAAGAAATATTGACACGCTGTAGGGTTCGAACTCACGCACTTGTGGAAGGATACATGCACTCAAGAACAGAAACGCTACCTTAGTTTTTAAAATATTTGGCCCCAAAAGTTTATTTATTCTTTTTGGCCCTGAAACACATGCTTCAACAACTTGTGCTCAGGCACGACAACACCCACTGTTCTCAGTAATTCCTAAAGAAAATCAGATTCTTGGATGACAGTAAAAACACATTTAAAAGTTTTTGTTCAAATTGGTTCGTAAGATTGTCGGATTAGTGAACTTCTTTCGCAGTGATTTGTTGAGCTTTCCATGATTCTATCAAGAGATCTTTCACTGGTCTTGAAAACCTTTATTTGTCCCATGTAATTATTTTCTTGGTTCATTTTGAAATTTAACCTGGTCCCATATAGAGACAATATCCAAAACCCATACATAGATGAATGAAAAGAAGAAAATATTAAATTTTAATGAGAATAAAAAGATCATTATCCTATACCTAAACACAGAAATATATAACTCTTTGTCATTTTTAGAAAAGTTATATATATAACAAAAAAATAAAAAAATTTATTTTCAAAATAAATTATATCTAAATACAAAAAACATAAATTATAACTAAAAAATTTAATTTTAAGAAATTGTGCGAGTGCACAGATTAGAATCTAGTTGTAAGTAAAAGGAGAATAATGATAAAATTAAACAAAACCAATTCTTGTTTTTTTCTATATAAATGTGGAAGTTAGGGTTTTGGAGAAAAATATAGAAATTAGAGTATTACAAATCATGTCTTCAATTTAAGATTAAAAAGATGAAAATATATCAAAGTTTCTATTAGAATTCCCAATCAAAACACAACATAGAGAAAATCATAGATGTTGCTTACGAGACCAGAGGAGAATCATACAAAAATTATGAGATATGTTTTATTGGTGAATTAAATATATATATATATATATATTAAGAAAATCGTATTATGAATTTGTAATATTTTTAAGTTTTAATGTTTTTCAAGTTGTTTGATAACTTATTAACATTATAAATGAAGTTGTAAAACTTAGTGCATAATCATGATGAGCTGAAATACCCATTTTTATTTTTACAATAAGTATTTTATTAAAGGATTAAGTTAACTCAATAAATAAATTAAATTTTGAAGCATGAGAATGTGCTGGAGTTCACTTTAATCTAATAAATTTAATTTTTACGAATCAAATAAAAACCAAAAGCACTTTTAAAATTCATCATTTGGTCAAATATTTTTTTGACCGAAGTTATTGCCATGCCCACTAGACTAAAAATCATCAACTCTAAAATAATATTCACCAAAATTATTTTTATCAAACAATCTTTTCTAAAGATATGACGCTTATTTGGAAAAACAGGATCAACGTCCCTATCAAGTCTATATCACGAGCAATGCTTTGAGCTATACTCAAACTAGAATTAAACTCTATGTGTCTATACTTCTCAAAAAACAGAATTACACCTTCAAAATTGTTTAAATCATTATCAAAGCACATCGATTTAAATTGTAAGTTTTTACTCACCGTGTTAGTAGCAATCAAATTTTTATATCATAACCATGTCAAGTAAAAATTCAAAATTATCAAATGCATGACTAAACTTTCAGCAATATTTTGGTCATAGCATCATAACATGATTCATAGAGTTCCAATAAACCTGACCTTATTGTGGAGCTTGAAACCTGATAGCTTTCGCACTTGCTATTTCACTCTCCCAAAGAGTATTAGATAAAGATTTTACTGTAAGAAAAGGACTATCCAATCAAATTCAGCAATAATTTCTATAGAACCTAAGAAATTACCAATGTTAAGTTAGCAAAAAAAAAGTAATTACCAATGTTATCTTGTTAGAGCTTTATGATAAAAGGAATGGAATGATATGTCGGAGTCTGTCATCGAGGGCTGGTATGTGCCTTCGTATCGTCTTCTCATAAAGGGAGGACTATTCATTGAACGTAAACTTATTTTATGGACAAGATTGAAACAAGTTATAATAGGTAACATTTAAGACGACTGAATCTCTCTGGAAAACACTTGGTTATGCTGCTTTGAACTTTCTATCAAAGAGACATAAGTATGATCAGATCTAGTTTATAGTACGAGGAAGCATTTGCGACGACTGAATCTATATATATATATATATATATATATATATATGGAAACACTTGGTTTAATAATTCTTTTTTTTTCAAAGCTATTTAGACCTGATATAGTAGTGATCAGTATTGAAAAATAGGTTACTTTGGCAATCTACCAAATTTAAGTTTTAGAAAGATTAATACCTATAAATAGCTTACATTGCAAAATAAAATAGTGAACCACTTGTTTTCAGTTTCTTCTATGAAGAGTATGGCTTGTACATCGCTTCTCTGGTACACACAAAACAAGCTAATCACATGTCCGCAGTTCCTTCGATATACCCAAACAAAACAAAAAAGTCAGAGAAGATAAAAAATAAACAATCAGGGTCGAATTCAGTCTTCTCTAGCTAGATCACCACAGGGGCTAGAGGTTGATAAATCTGTTGTTCTAATCCTTTTCGAGGGTTTAGCTGGGAGCTTTCTCACATAGTTTTCCTGAAGCGGTATCGGCATTTGGAATGAGAATTGTGAAATGTTGACGCCTTCTATTTTGTACTGCGGGTACTCGTCCAAGTACCTGCAAAAGCAATGATAGTTAGAAGGGTGTAAGGAAGCTGTATAAATGTTAATGAAAACAAATTGGAAACCAAATGAACTATTATTCTACCTTTGTTGTTGATATCAAATGCATTAGGGAAGTAATATGATATTTACGTTAGTAAACAAAACGTATGGATGCGTTTAATGAATTTCTCATCACTGCCTAGCTCTTAGATACACCACAAGATACCACACCGGGACCAATAAAGAGACATAATTCCTAAATATTATTCTAAATCAGAATATAGAAAGAGTACATATTGATCAATTTGTTGTTGTGAAAACTAAAATGCTGTTAGACAGAAGGAGAAAAGTAGAAATGGAGTGATAGAAAAACAAACTTTTGAACTTCCACATATGACCGAAGCTGATATCCTGACGGAGTAGCATAATAGCTGAAAGACCATGAACGAAACAATTTTAAGGAAAGCTTGGTAATATATCCTAAGAGGAAAGAGTGATTTAGTTAGAGAGGAGTGAACGTACACATCAGCAAATCTGGTAGATCCTTCATTTCTAAACCGCACTGAACGTTTCCAGCCAGCTGGTGGGCAAGGAATGCCTGGCCTATCCAGAGCCCACACAGAGGTTCTATACTGAGATACATTCTCAGGAACGTCACAAGACATACCGGGCTTCCATTCACTTGCTGTTTCGCAGTAAAACAGGTTTTCTTCAAGCTTTTCTCTTATCACTTCATATTTTTCCTCCGAAGGAATGACCCTCCACTTGAGACAAGTGTTGCATTGGACTGTAAAAGCCTCAATGCTAAGACTTGGTTTTCTGGTTTTAGGAGGTTCAGATTGAACAGTATCATTTCCCATGAACGAGGATCCTGATTCCCATGAAGGTTGAACAGCGTGAAAATCAGAAACATTTCCGCTCCACTGCGACATACTTGAAATAAATTACCTGTAATAATTGAGAATCGTTAGGGCTTATCTAGAATCAGAAGTGTTTAACATCTTTTCCCCATTCAACCAAAAATTTAATGATGAATAAAGAACACAAATGTAAAATGAATTAACAATTACGTGTGAATATAATAGGAGAACATAAAGGAATAAGATAAAATATAATTGGTTTTCTTTGTGTCTGTGAATTAACAATTGAAAACTCCAGATAGGGCTTCTATATCTAGAATCAGAAGGGTTTAACATCTTTTCCCCATTCAACCAAAAATTTAACGACGAATAAAGAACACAAATGTAAAATGAAACAATAATTACGTGTGAATATCATAGGCGAACATGAAGGAATAAGATAAACCAAATAGGTTTTCTTTGTGTCTGTGAATTAACAATTGAAAACTCCAGATAGGGCTTATATATCTAGAATCAGAAGTGTTTAACATCTTTTTCCCATTCAACCAAAAATTTAATGATGAATAAAGAATACAAATGTAAAATGAAATAATAATTACGTATGAATATCATAGGAGAACATAAATGAATAAGATAAAATCAATTAGGTTTTCTCTGTGTCTATGAATCAACAATTGAAAACTCCAGATATAATGCAACAATAATCAGCATAAACTGTAACCAGCAGTAAATGGGAAAGAACATGTAAGGAGTAAAACTCCTATTATTGAAAGCAACCGAAATGGGAAAAAAAAAACTGTAACCAGCAGAAACCCTCACGTAGTTAAAATCATTCAAAATCACAATCAGCCTCAAAAAATTGAGTGAGACACAGAAGTAATTAACAATAAGCAGCACGAGTAAACGTACGGTGGGAGAGAATATCCAAAACCCATATCAACGAACAAGAGTTAAATTTCAATGAGAAGAAGAAGATCATTACACGGTAAGATTTCCTGATTGTTACGAAGAAGAAGGATCAGCGATGGCACTAATCCGACAATCTCACTAACCAATTCGAACTAAGAAGAGATATTCGATCCAAAAGAACAAATAAACCTAAGCATGGACCGAGAGATGAGAGAGAGGGAGAGAGAGAGAGAGAAGATAAGGTAGTTTTTTTTATTTCTTTTGCATAAATATGTTGCAACTAAATAGTTTTTTTTTTTTAATTTGGAAAAAAATCAAAAAGAATTTGATTTTTTTTTCTACTTATATTCAAAATATATCATTGCTTTTAATTACCTGTGCATATTATTAAAGAAATTGTATATACCAGTGGATATTTTTTAAAATGTATTATTACAAAAATATAAGTGCATTTTAGTGGTATAAATAATCAAACGAATTCTTTTAATATTTTCTGTATCAATTCAGAAATTAGGGTTCTAGAGTATGTAAAAATTAGGGTACTACAAATTTTGTCGACCGTTTACCATAAATTAGGGCACTACAAATATAAAAAATATTTGGTTAAATTTTGTTGAAAATAAATTACGTAAATATTAATGAAATATGTTATATTGTGAGATAATGTGGGAGCTAAAACTCGCACAATCAAACAACCAAAAACTTGTTAAGAATAAATTTTAGGGATCCGAAATTTCTAGGGTTTATCGCAAGAACAGTAAAATCAAAATAAGGTTTTTTTGCTGGAAAAGTGTTGAAGTCTTATTGCTCTCGAGTTGTGAAAAGTTACATAATGAATCGCATAAATCGTCTATTTATACTAATTACCTAAACCGCCTAGGCCGAGAATCTCGGAAGAGATTTTCGGAATCTTTCCTTATCGCTTCGTGCGGCCACCGTCATAATGCTTTTGCCTAGGGTTTTAGTGGGTTCGCGTTCTTAACGACTTCGGCTCGGCCCATCTTCACTTGTGCACAGCTCGGCCCATCTTCTCTCGTGCACGGCACAGTCCATCTGAGCGTCCTTCATGCGGCTCGGCCCACTTATCTCCTCCTCGAAGTTCAACCCATTTACGACGTTGGGCTCGGCTCAGCCCACTTCTCTTATGTGGGGGCTCGGCCCGTATCCGATGAATTACTGATTCCTCTCACCAAACCGGCTCTCCCCGGTGTTTAATTATTCTCGAGATGGTTTAAACCGGTTGGGGTGAAACCGACCCCAACAGTTAGCCCCCCAGCTCGTCAGTTTCAGAGACGAGAGTGATGAGATTTATCACTCCTGGACGTGGAATTAACCATCGAGTTAAACCTATCTTGGAATAATTCCAGGCAAGACGTGTCAGGAACAAGATTGCCCGACCAGTAAAATGACAAGGTGACATTGTTAAAAGATAATGCCGAGCCATTATAAAGACGAGGTGACTGATATGGGAGACAATGCTGAGCCGTTTTTGCAAAAGTTATGCCGAGCTGAATAAACGACGAGGCGTTATGTGAGAATCGTGCCGAGCCGAATAAACGGCGAGGCGTTACGCGAGAATCGTGCCGAGCCGAATAAACGGCGAGGTGTTATGTGAGAGTCGTGCCGAGCCAAATAAACGACGAGGCGTTCATGACGATTATCTTGGTACTGATACGTTTGTCGAGGAGGTTCTTGTGGAGAGACGTTTTGCGCTCAGCAACATCGAATCGTGCTTAATGATCCGTATGAACAAAGCCGAGACGTGCACAAGATTAACGACAAGGTGTTTCCTTATGACCAATGCCGAGCCGTGCTTTGAAATAACGACGAGGCGTTTTGCCGCGGATAATGCCGAGCCGTGCTTAGTGAGGGAGTGTCCATTCTTTGACAACGCCGAGCCGTGTCGCCTTTTGACGACGAGGTGCCTCTTCTACCTAATAAAGCACGTTGGATTGCCGAGCTGTTCGCGATGCCGAGGCATTTTGCGTCTTGACGTTCGGTGCGGCTCGAGATTCTCATGAGGGGCTCGGTAATCTCGAAGAACATCCGAAGGGCGTTAAATTGACGCGCCTCTGACGTGATTTGTTCTCTGCGCGGATCTCACGCATCTGTCCCATAGCTTTCCTTATTCCCGAGGTCTCCGCGGACCCCACGCGCCTCAGAATGGCTATATAAGGGGTCTTCTGCACTCATTTCTTCATTACTTCAGTTCTTCAATTTTTTTGCAAAGGTAGCTCTCCCTTCACTCTTCTTTCTCTCTCTAAATTATTATTTTTCCGGTTAGGGTTCCTGCCTTCTCCGCTGTCTCTCCTTTGCGCCGTTGGTGCTGTGTGGCGGTTGTTTCTATTACGCCGACCTACCCGGCGGATTTCTTCGATAAGTGAGCCGAGTCGTATATTTATAACTCGCTTACCACCATGCCGAGCCGATCCGAGGAAACCCTAGATTCCCTCTTCCATTACGAGTCGCAGACTTGGACTAGCCGAGGCCATAAAGGCGTTGATTCGAGCCGAGGCGAGGAAGACTCCTACGCGGGCGTGTCATCGTCCTGAGGCGATAGTCACAGAGAAGCTGAGCCGTGCTGATCGCGGAGCTAGCAAATCCGAAGTCGAAGCTACTCTCGGTCGCGATGGTTTCTATCATTAGGCAAAATCCCCAGCAGACCAGGGACATGAGATTGCCGAGGCGAGAAAATGCGACCGATCGGTAGATACCAAAGCGACATCTTATGGGAATCCTAGCGAAGAATCAGTAGGTGATGCCGAGAGGGATTTTCCTGCGAGGTCGCATCATGAGGAGACCGAGGAGAATAGAGCCAAAGTTTCAACGAGATCATCCCGCATTCTGGTTCCTGTTTTTGATGAGGCTGCCAGATTTGCCGAAATCAAAGCTGAGGAAGAGACTTTTTCGTTTGATCCATTGGAAGCGAAGCGCGAGATCGAGCGTTTAATGGCGAGTCGAGCCGCTTCTTTCTCCAGGCGAACGAAGTCGCGAAAGAAAAGGCAATGACCGGATCCTCCCAGCTCGTCGTTGTCTTCTCCCGAATCGTTGGATGCTCTTAGGGTTTGTTTTGGTATCTCTGAGGAAGGGGAGTTTGTCGTACCGACGCCCAGCGGTCGTGATCATCTCCCACCCCCGATCATTTCACTTTGTACGAGGCGTTCTTCGACCTATGCTTCCTATGGTTTCCCATTCCCGAGGTGATTCTTGAGTATCTTTGGAAACACATGATTTCCATTGGTCAAATCATGCCGAGGAGTTTGCAGCATATGATCGGGATCTTGGTGCGAAGTTTTGAGTGTCATGTAGACGTCGAGCTCGATCATTTGCTGAATTTACTGGAGATTCGCAAGGCCCACGACGGAAAAAAGTTTTATATTTCTGCTAAGGCAAATCGTAAGATAATCGGCGGCTTTCCTAGTAAAGATAGTTTCAGGGACAAGCGCTTCTTATTTGTCCGGATTAACGGGGCGTCGGTTGGCGACGGCTTCATCGCAAGACCAAAACAGATTGGGGACCGATTGCCGATTGGTATCCGATCGATGCCTTGCCTCGGCTCGGAAAATGTTTTAGGTTTTCATTCTTAACCTTTGCTTTATTGTTTTGTTTTGCAGTTCGCGACTTTCTTCCCCGGTGCCCTGACGATCTGTTTGAAGTTTGGGACGGGCTAGCTGCCAATCGAACTCATTGGAAACGCCATTTCTCGCTGGAAAGAGTCGAACGAGCCCGGTCTATTGCTGCGGGTGTTTCAGTTAGCTCCGAACTATCCAACTCGTCGGGCGATACTCGTGACAAGATGGTGATGGAGACTTTCCGGGAGAGGAAGAAGAGAGAAGCTGAGGAAGCGGCAAGACGAGCCGAAGAGGCTGCCAAGAGAGGCGAGAACGAGCCGATGGATGTGCAGCAGGCTGAGAACAAGGCTCTCGTGGTCGGCTCGGGGGACAAAGGTGACCAGAGCACTGGTCGTGAGGAAGGCCTCCGAGGCGACCTCTAATATTCCCGACGAGCATAGGTCCTCTGCTGGTGCGACCAAGTCGGCCATTCTCGCTCCCCCGCATTCGCCGAAGCCCCCGACTTCCAAACTTGAGAAGCACGAGGCGGCGAATCGCAAGCGCTCTGCTGCGGAGAAGGGAAAAGGCGTTGTTTCCGACAAAGGCGAGCCGCTTAAGAAGAGGCAGAAAGCGGCTGTCAGCGAGCCAAGCTCGAAAAAGCTTGTCGTGGACGATGCTACTGCTTCGGCCCAATTGTTCTTTAGGATCAATAACGACAAAGTTGCTTTGCCGCGCCCCGAAAAGCTTAAGCGCCCCAAGTCTTACGCCCCCATGGCACAACATGGTACCAAGGTTGGTTCCCTCTCGTTTTAACCTTTCTTAGTCGATTCATCTGATTCTAATTCTTTCTCCCTTTTTCTTCACCTTCAGTTTATCGCCGCGGAGAACGAGCTGTTAACGGGCTACGAATCCGACGCGCTCAAAGGCGAGCGTCGTTTGGTCGAGACGAAGCAGGAGGCCGCGCAGTCGAAGGCTGAGTTGGACAAAGCGCTAGCTCGAATCACCGCGCTAGAGGAGGAGAAAGGGGCTATCAGAGCCAAACTCAAGAAAAAGACGACTCGATTCGAGGAATCTCGTTATCGGAAAACAACGAGATTGCTTCCCTGAAGAGGCAAATCGCAGCAAAGGATGCATTGCTCAAATCCCGAGTCAAGATCGCCCAGAAAGAAGCCAGTCGCGCTGCCGCGGCTAAGTTTCAAGAAGGGCTTGCTGGGATCGAAGGGAAAATGGGTGATCTGGAGAAAGCCAAGAGGGATGAGAACGACGTTGGTCAAATTCAGAGTAACCTCATGCTAATTGGCGATCTCCGAAAGCCAGATGCCAGTCTCGATGCAGAAGAAGAGAAGCTGAAAAATTGGGAGGCCGAGCTGTTGGGAGCCGAGGAGACGTTTGAGCATGCTGCTATGGACTTGCGGGAGAAGCTGGTAGTTTCTCCGGTATCTCCAAATTCCATCGATTCTCGCTTGAGGACCGAACCGCTAGAAGTTACTGCAGCTTCGGTTGGAGTTACGAATCCGAACGGTTCGAACATTGACACTCTGAGGGCTACAGATCTTGCGGCCGAGGGCATTCCTGAGTTGCGTGGAGGAGATCAGTAGTATTTTCTATTTTCTTATCGAGCTGTACTGTGTCGTGCCTGGATGGCTTTATCCATATCGTTTTGACTTGTTTGTTTGTTTTTTTTTGTAAACATCGTGCCTGGATGGCTTTATCGTATCGCTTGACTATTGATCTTAATGTTGGATTTATTCGGTAGCACTCTTATCTATCTTTTTGAGAGAAAATTCTTGTTGGACCGAGCTGTCACTAATTGGTTTGTCGAGCCGAGCCAAGAGTGATTTTGTTTTCTTTCCTGGCCGAGCTGTTACGAAAGACCGATAGAACACCAGATTAAGGAATAGGCTATCTTGGTTTTTCTAGATATCGAATAGGTTTCGTTTAAGTTAAAGAAAAATCCTGGGCTGGCATATACGTCTTTTGCTAAGATAATCCTTGCAAGGGAGATTAAAGTTTTCTTATGTCTCTGAATGTTAGTGCCTAGGTGTTGAGTTGGAAAGGAGATAGTGTATAATGAGGTATTTTAACTCGGATCTAGTTTTGACCTTCTGAGGCGCTAAGTTTGAATTAATCGTTGCCGAGGTTCATGTCTAAGTAGATGGTATTTGAATTTGATCGTTGATCGGCGTTCTCGAGAGGGTGAATGTGTTTGCCGGGTTTTAAGAGTTGGGCTCGTGGATAAGTGAAAAGTCTAGGCGAAGTGAAAAGCGAGTGGATAAGTGATTGAAAACGAGTTTTCTCAAAAATTTCTAAAGTGACAGTAAGTGAATGAAAAACCTTACCGAAGTGAAAACTAGTGAAAGAAAAGCTAGAACAAGTGAATGAAAAACTAGCCGAAGCGAAGATAATCTTTGAGACAGTAGACTTGACGAGCTAAAAATCTTAAAAATGATGAAAGTATAAGTGTATACGTACCCACTCCCCCCCCCCTTTTTAGGAGGGGGGGGGGACAGCTGAACCCGTCCGAGGACGGGCTACCTACGTACCCTTTGCAGGGATCAAGCCGTCCCGTAGTTCATGTTGATCGTGCTGTAATCTTAGTGATAATACTTCTTCAGGTGCATTGCGTTACACGATCTTGGAATTGCTTCGTCAGCTACCGTCGCAAGTTTTGTAGACTCTTGGGCAAACTACTTTCGTAATCTTGTAGGGACCTTCCCAATTTGCTCCAAGCTTTCCTGCATTCCTTTCGGCAGTGTTTTGGAAAACTTTTCGAAGGACGAGCTCTCCTTCTTTAAATCTTCGGCTTCGGACATTTTTGTTGTAGTATCTTGCCGTTACTTGTTGGTAGTTAGGGGGGGGATTACGCACTCTGTTCCATAGACGAGAGCGAATGGAGTTTCTCCAGTGGCTCGGCGCGGAGTCGTCCGATGCGACCAAAGAACTCCTTTCGAGTTCGTCTGCCAGTCGTCCTTTCTTGGTGTCGAGCCTCTTTTTCAGGCCGTCTAGGATCGTTTTATTATCTGCTTTGGCTTGTCCATTCCCCTGGGGATATCTTGGCGTGGATTTGCTAAGAAGGATTTTCCATTTCTCGCAGAAAGTTTCGAAGCGAGTTGAGATGAACTGGGATCCGTTGTCGGTGACTATCTCGTAGGGGACTCCGTGTCGGCAGATGATATTTTTCCAGACAAAGTGTTTGACTTGGGCGTCCTTTATGCTTGCGTAGGAATCTGCCTCGATCCATTTAGAAAAATAATTTGTAAGGACGAGCAGAAAACGCTTCTGCTTTGATCGATGTAAAGGCCCGACTATATCCATTGACCATCTAATGAATGAATAAGGTGACGAAATTGACGACAGCAGCTCGGTAGGTTGATGGATTGTAGGCACGTGCCGTTAACACTTCTCGCACTTCGCCGTAAACTTCTCGCAGTCCTTGACCATCGTAGGCCAGAAGTACCCGTGCCGTTTTATCTTGATCGCGAGTGACCTTCCGCTAGAGTGATTTCCACACGCGCCGCTGGGCACCTTGTGCATTATCTTTCTTGCTTCTGGTCCCTCGACATACGTCATTAGTGGTCCTAAAAATCTCCATTTGAACACTTTGCCGTCGACGAGGACGTACCGCGCTTGAGCCCTTAACTTGCGGGCCTCCCACTTGTTGGATGGTACTTCTCCGTCGGCGATGTAGACTCGGATAGCTCCGAGCCATTCCTTGTCGCAGCCGTACTCCAGCTCGGCTGACGAGGCATCTTCTTCCATAGCGATTGCTTCGCCGTTCTCTGGTTCTTCCTCGGGAAGATTGATCAGCCGAACTCCTTCCACCTCCTCTATGCTTGGACGTTCGATGAATTCGACTGGAATTGTTCGACGAAGATCCGGGTCTGAGGTCAAGGCGAGTGCTGCTAAGGCGTCCGCCGAGGTGTTTTCGCCTCGGGGTAATTGTGTGAGCTCGAACCAAATCTTGGACTACTCTAAGGTAAGCTCCCATTCTTCCATCCTTCGCCTCATACTCTCTGTTAAATTGATTTGCTACGAGCTGTGAGTCGCAAAAGGCTCTTATTTTCCAAACTTTGATTCTCTGCGCTAGTCGTATGCCAACGATCAGTGCTTCGTACTCTGCTTCGTTGTTCAAGGCGTGAAAATTTAGGCGGAAATACTGCTCCAATATCTCTCCGGTGGGAGAGGTGAGACGGATTCCTATTCCCGAGCCGTGTTTAGATGACGAGCCGTCGACGTGCAGCGTTCAAACTTCGTCTGGAGTTGGCTCGGTTGTCACCTTGGTCGGAAGTTTGATGAGGAAATCTGCGAGCACCTGGGATTTTGCAGACGACCTATTCTGATAATCGATGCCATACTCACTCAACTCTATGGCCCATTTGGCGAGCCGCCCATATTGGCTCGGGCTGAGCAGGATCGAGTGCAGCGGAAGGGTCGCGAGCACGATAATCAAATGCGATTGGAAGTATGGACGCAGCTTGCGAGCCGATACTATGACAGCTAGCGACTCTCGGCATCAGTCAATGTCTGACTGATGTAAAAGATGGGTTTTTGTTCGGATCGTTCTTCTCTTATCAGCACTCCGATTACGGCCGTAGCGGATAAATCGATGTAAAGGAAGAAGGGTTCTCCCTCTACTGGTTTTGCCAAGAACGGCGGGCTTGCTAGATAACCCTTCAACTCCTGGAAGGCTGCTTCGCATCGCTCGTCCCACTCGAACATCTTATTTCCTCGGAGGATGTCGTAGAAAGGCAGATACTTGTCGGTAGATCGGGAGATGAATCGGTTTAGCGCGGCGACTCTTCCTGTGAGCCTTTGAACTTCTCACTTCGTTCTTGGAGATGGCATCTCAACTAATGCCTTGATCTGCTTGGGGTTCGCTTCAATGCCTTGGTGAGTCACCAAGTAGCCGAGGAACTCTCCCGAGGTGACCACGAATCTGCACTTCACCGGGTTTAGTTTCATGTTGTGTTTATTCAATTGCTCGAAGCATTCTTGTAGGCGCGCGATATGGTCTTTTTCTTCGATCGATTTGACCAGCATATCGTCAATGTACACCTCCATGGTTTTTCCGAGCTGATATGCAAACATCTTATTGACGAGCCGTTGATATGTTGCCCTCGCGTTTTTGAGTCCGAATGGTATGACTTTGTAGCAATATATCCCACAGTCAGTTATGAACGCCGTTTGTTCTCTGTCGTCGAGATGCATCGGGATTTGGTTGTAACCTGAAAACGCGTCCATGAACGTCAACAACCTGTTTCCTGCAGTGGCTTCGACGAGCCGGTCGATGTGTGGTAGAGGGAAACTGTCTTTTGGGCACGCTTTGTTGAGATTTGTGAAATCTACACAGACTCGCCACTTGCTGTTCTTCTTCTTCACGACCACTGGGTTTGCGAGCCAGTCCAGGTACTTTACTTCGGCGATTGATCCTACTTTGAGCAAACTTTCTACTTTGTCGTTGACGGCCTTAGCTTGTTCAGCACCGAGCTTCCTCCTTTTTTGCTTGATTGGTTTGAAGGTTGGGTCCACGTTCAGTTCGTGACAGGTCACATCGATGCTTATGCCCGGCATATCCTCCGCTGTCCAGGCAAAAGTGTTGATATTCTCCTTGAGGAAGGAAATAAGTTCGTTTTTCAAAGGTTCCTCTAGCTTAGTTCCAATCTCGGCGCATCTTTCCGGATGCGCTTCGTCTATGCACATCGAGTCCACCACATCACATTCCGGCTTGGTGCACGTTTCGCGGCTCTCCGCGATCTGTAATTGCTATAAGTGTTTTGAGAGCCCGTTCGCAGGCTTTCGATCCGTCTTCAGCTTCTTGCGATCTACGTCTGCTCGTGCGTTGGTGACAGGGTTCCTCAACTTGTGTTCCGTCAGGAAACACACCCGCGACTCCTTCTGATTTCCGCAAATCGTTTTGATGCCTGTTGGAGTTGGGAACTTGAGGCAGAGGTGGTAGGTGGAAGGGATCACCCTCATCACATTTATCCACGGAGTCCCCATGATCAACGTTGTAGATTGCTGGGTGATCGGTGACGGAGAATTCGACGATCTTAGTGACTCCACCGGCCACCACGGGGAGTCTAATTGTTCCTATAGTCATTCTTGTTTAAGGACTGCCGTCACCTCTAAGAGATCGATTTCCATCCTTCTGAGTGTCTCCCTAAAGATAATATCTACCGAGCTCCCGGTATCGATGAGTACTCTCGCTACGTCATGGTCTCTAATCGTCAGTTCGATCACTAGTGAATCGGTGTGTGGTCTATCTATCCCTGCCGTTTCCTCTTCGGCGAAGGAGATCACCGTGTTTGGGATATCGGTCGGTTCGGTCCAATTCGCCTTTGCTTCAGCTCGGTACTGATAGGCTTTGATGGAAGATACCGTGTCTTGGTAATATTGGGATCCACCCATGATCATGTTGATTCTTTGTCTTGGCTCGGGTCGTTCTTCGGGTTCACCTCTCGTGTCGCACTTGGTATTATCGCCTCGTCGGGGCGGATTTGTGGGTTATACCGCACCGCTCGGCTTGGTTCTCTCTTTTGGCTCGGTAAGGACGAGATCTTTAAGATTCACCGCGCTCTGGAGCTCTCCCGCAGCCATT